CTGCAGGAGTTATTGGGAATTTTGAGGCGGGAACGGCTTTATGCTAAGTTCTCGAAGTGTGAGTTTTGGTTGCGAGAGGTCCAGTTCCTTGGGTACCTCATTAACCAGGAGGGGATTTTGGTCGATCCAACCAAAATCGAGGTGGTTATGCAGTGGGAGATTCGAAAATCTCCCTCAGATATCAGAAGCTTCTTGGGATTGGCAGGGTACTGCCGAAGGTTTATATAGGATTTTTCCAAGATTGCAGTACCTCCCACTCGTCTGACAAGGAAGGGGGTGGATTTTCTATGGGGCCCCGAGCAGCAGAGGGCGTTTGAGACCCTCAAGCAACATTTGTGTGAAGCTCCAATGTTGACCCTCCCTGAAGGAGTTGAAGACTTTGTGGTTTTCTGTGATGCATCCATTACAGGGTTGGGAGTGGTCCTCATGCAGAGGGGACGGGTGATTGCATATGCATCGCGGCAGTTGAAGCCACATGAGACTAGGTATCCTATTCATGATTTGGAGTTGGGGGCGGTGGGTTTTGCCCTCAAGTTATGAAAAAATTATCTATATGGGGTCCATTGTACCATATATACAGATCACTAGAGTGTGAGGCACATCATGGACCAGCCCAACCTGAACATGAAGCAGCGCAGGTGGCTGGATGTAGTCAAGGACTATGATTGTGAGATCCTGTACCACCCTGGTAAAGCGAATGTGGTAGCAGACGCTTTGAGCCGCAAGGAAGTAGGGTCTTCCACCCCAGCAATATGTATGAGGATAACCATGGATCCTCCGATTGTGATTTTGATCAGAGATACGCAGGTTGAGGGTATGAGACCAGAGAATTGGAAGGATGAGAGGATTAAGGGTGAAATCAACCGATTTGTGCAGGATGGACGGGGATTGATAACCCGTTATGGTCGTATATGGGTCCCGATGTCTGGGGAAGTCAGACAAACCGTTTTGGAGGAGGCTCATAAGTCTTATTTCTCCATTCACCCAGGGGCCACCAAGATGTTCAGAGACCTAAGTTTGAGTTACTGGTGGCCATGTATGAAGCAAGAAATCATTGGGTATGTCGAGAGGTGCCTGACTTGTAGGATGGTCAATGCCGAGCATCAAAGACCGCATGGTCTGTTACAACCCTTGGAGATTCCCATGTGGAAATGGGAGCAAATATCGATGGATTTCATTAATAAGTTGCCGAAGACGGCGAAGGGATTTGATGCTATATGGGTTATTGTCGATCGATTGACCAAGAGTTCTCACTTCATGGCTATTCAAGAAAGCTCTTCAGCCGAGAAATTGGCCGATGTGTATGTCCGGGAGATCGTTGCTCGGTACGAGGTACCAGTTTTCATTATTTTCGATCGGGATGTCAAGTTTACTTCTCGTTTCTGGTAGAAGTTCCACGAGGAACTGGGCACACGGCTACACTTTAGAACAACATTTCATCCTGAGACTGACGGGCAGAGTGAACGGACCATTCAGACCCTCGAGGATATGTTAAGGGTGTGTGTCATTGATTTTGGAGGGAGTTGGGATTCTCACTTACCTCCTGTAGAATTTTCTTACAACAACAATTATCATTCTAGTATTGGCGCACCGCCTTTTGAGCTGTTGTATGGTCGGAGATGTAGAACCCCAATCTGTGGGGGTGAGGTTGGACACAGGGTAATGGGTCGGAAGGAAGTAGTTTTGCAGACTAGCAAAAAGATTCAACAGATAAGGCAACGGTTACAGACTGATCAAAGTCAGCAAAAGAGTTACGCTGACAGACGCTGATCGTTTCAGAAAAAAGGGAAAATTGGGCCCCGGTATATTGTGTCGTTCAAGGTCATTGCCAGGGTCGGCAAGGTGGCGTAAAGACTAGATCTGCCAAATAAGCTTAGTCACATTTACAACACTTTTCACGTTTCGCAACTGTGAAAGTGCATTATGGACCAAGAGGCGATGATACCACTGAATGACATTCAGGTTGATGAGCGTTTGAATTATGTAGAGAAACCGGTGGCTATCCTGGAGAGGAAGATGAAAGTTTTGTGGAACAAGGAGATACCTTTGGTGAAGGAACAGTGGGAGCATCTGAGGGGATCCGAGTGGATATGGGAGCCAAAGGTGGAGATGCGGGAGCATTACCCCGATTTATACGTTACAGCAGACTTCGAGGACGAAGTCTAAGTTAAGTGGGGGAGAATTGTAATGCTTCAATTGTCAGGTATCATTATTGTTCAATTTAAATTTCATGTTTTAAGACTTACTCGATGAGTTAATGCTATGACTCGTCGAGTAGATGCGAGTTGGGACACGTCATTTAATGAGTTAACTCGACGAGTAGGAGTTGGCAGAGGAAACCCTAAATTTCAGGGTTTTTGCACCCTATATATTGGACCATTAGCGCTTCCCACTGTCCCTTATCACTCCTTGAGAGCCAGAAACCCTAATTTTGTGTGTGTGAGTTTTGTGAGTGTTTTGGAGTTTTGGGAAGTGATTTATTGAAGGAAACATCTAAATCAAGAGACTTGCATCAAGGAAAATTGTGTAGATCTTGAATCCATCTCTGTTTGGGCATGTTTTGGAGGTAACCAGCTGTTACTTTGATCTCTTTCTTCTTAGAACCTCTCATGGATGGAGTTAGGGCTTTCTTTAGCATATTCATGAAGAGAGTGTAGTGTATGAGCTAGATCTGAAGTTGAAACTTCATATTTGAACCTCCCTTGGGTCCTAAGTTCATAAAGTTCCTTGTATGGCTATGAAAGAACCCTCCCTTATGAGTAGAACTTCATTTCAAGCTTGGATCCAGATTTTTAGGAATGTAAATACGTAAAGGTAGCAACTTTACATTGCTAATACACTCTAGGGACCTAGATCTATTGTTTGGAATGAAAGAATAGTTATGTATTGCTTGATCATGGACATAACCGTATGGACTCGGCGAGTCTAGGAGATGACTCGACAAGTCGAGAAGGGTTTTCGTGCGAATTGATCACGTGTGGACTCAGCGGGTCTGGGAGATGACTCAGTGAGTCAGTTTGGGATTTCAAGCACTAGGTCGCGTATTGACTCGACGAGTCGATTCGGGTAATTCTTGAATCAGTATGGACTCGATGAGGGGAAAGTTGCACTCAGGAATAGGACAACATGGACTGTTGACCATTGACCAATGACTTTGACTTTGACTGGGGATTGTCTTGTGCCTTCCAAGGGCATTTTGGTAATTGAGTAATTATTTAGTGGGTCACTCATGGGTACAGGCGAGGCTGTTGGAGCTATATCTGGAGGAGTGGGGGTATTATTCCGAGCAGCTAGCAAGGTGAGTTATCCTCACTATATCACTACCTTTAGGTTGTTATTCTGATTATAGTATGTTGTATATGATTATGATCTTTTAGATCTGTATCCGAATAGACAAGATGTTATTATGCATTGTGAATCGTTAGGGTCGGTATGTTATTGACCTGGTTAGGTCGGTATTCTGTTTATAAGTGATTGCTATGATAGATGATCTGTGAGATCGTCATATCTGATATATGTATGCTAGTTTTTGTCATTTATGTGCATATGATTATTTGTTTGATTATTAGGTTGAGGCGGTCCTGCTTTGTGCTGAAGGCTAACACACCTGACGAGTGGTCTGGATAGACTATGGGCCCTGCATGACGGTCCAGTTATACCGAAAGCTCGGGATAGATCTAGTTAGACTATAGGCCTTGCAAGACGATCCAGTCAGGCTAAAGGTCCAGTATGCATGTTGTTGTTATCTGTTATTAATATGGTATTATCAGTGTAACATTGGTATTTTGGAGGTATCCCACTAAGCTCTCGGGGCTTACAGTTTCAGTTTATTGTTTCAGGTACATCAGAAGATCGTGGAAAGGCAAAGATGTGACCGTACCGCTCCTCATCCTTATGATTTCGTTTCTGGGACACTCTGATGAATAATATTTTGAAAACAATTTGTATAACGCTATTTGGTTTTTAATGGTTGGAAAAGTTTAAATTTGGCTTAAAAATTTTGGATGTTACAGCATTAATGTATGTTTGTGTCAATCGTAAAAAATACAACATCGTGTCACATTTTTTTGAGTCAATCCTCAAATAGTTGACCATTTAACCACATAGTTTGGCCATTATTAAACACTCATAATGTTTAATATTTAAATGATTTTAAACGCGAGAAGAAAAAAGCCTTTCTAAAACTTATTCATGGAAAAAATCTATCCAAAATGCGGATGGATTTTCCATGTGATAAAAAACGCTAATTTTTGGACTTTTTGTGAAGGTTCAATATTTATATGATTTTAATTTTTAAACGTACAAGAATGTTGTTTTTTTAACGCCAATTGATTTTAAATGCTAATTTTAATGCTAAAATTTTTTGAACTTGGCAAGCCCAAGGTTTAACCTAATTTTCTTTGAATATAGCCCAATAAATAGATTCCCTTTCCATGACAAGAGCTATCCTTAAATTCTAAGATAATCCTCCACCTCCCCAAAGTGGTTCTCTTTTTGGCCAAAAGCCCAAAAGAAACCACCTTCATCCTAATATAGTTTTAACGATTTTGTTACTTGATGACAATTAAGAATAAAATCAAGAATTCGCTAAGGACAATAATCTAAAATTTACATGTGTTAAATTTATTATTATAAATAAAAATAATATGACAAAATTTCAAAGTTAAAGGGACAATATATATTTATTGTTCTAAGTTCTAGGGTCTTAATCGAAAGTATTGACAACTAAAATGGATTGGATCGTAAATCACGTTTTTACTTTGATTTTTTAATGTAATCTAGTATAAAATTGGAAGTAAATTATTGAAAGTAACGACACATGGGTCCCTCTATAATTTACTTTGACTTTTTTCATAGAAACTTGCTGCTGACATGTCACCCAACTAATTAATCATAACATGCAAATACACAGTTTTTCAACATAAAACTTGTTTTAACCCATAGATTTATATATTACAATTCGTATAACGTATAAAGAGAATTCGTATTCCCAAAATATTAAAAAAAATAATAATAAATCTCAATCACAGATTGAGAAAAAAAAAAAAAAAAAAAAAAACTTTACATCGTGAACAATTATCCGTGTGTTAAATGTAAAACGGTGTGATGTGATCCAAGAAAACATACGACTGTTAACGTATATGTAACTGGATTTCAACCGCTTAAAAAAAATATATGTTTTATATGTATACAGTCACCATCATATACCATATCCATTTCCCTTCGATCATATGCGAATGTAGTAAATTGAAGAATCTCGAATCATTTACACCCATGGATCACAAATGAAAAATACCTTTTTCAACAGCTAAAGATGGAGAATTTTGAAGGTGTTCTTGCCTACTTGGAGCTGAATCAAAAACAGACAAAAGGATTAAATAACCCAGTTATAATCGCATGTGAAGGCTTCATCGTTTTCGAAATAGATTAAATAAAGATTTCGTTTTCACCTAGTCCATTAATGGCTTCTGAGCTTCTCATTAACCTTATTCGCTTGCAAGTCTCGAAGAACATCCTGTGATTAAACAAATAAGCAAAGAAACCTGTTGATTAATTTTGAAAATTTGGAAGATTGTAGTATGAGTTTATCAAGTTTGGGGGAACTTACGTCCATGGAACATCACCAATAAGCATCCAGTCCCCATCTTTATCCACATACGTTGTAACATATTCCTTTTCCATCAACTTTTTCTCATTCAATACGCTATCTGTAATTTTAATCGATATGTTGTGACGATCATATTTTAATAGAAAATAAAGTTGTATGATAGTTTGGAGCCCTAAATGGCTAAATCATCAACTCATCATCATATACTTACTAGTGAAACAGGAGAATATGTCTTCTAGAGCGAATAGAAGCTGCTGATAGCCTGCATATGATCCCAGATCTACTTTTCTCAGATATGGTGCTCCGTCGACCGCCACCTTTACAAACTTAAAATTACTGTTCACAGCGTTCTTCCTGTGCAAGTTCACCGGTGGCCATCCGACCACTCGTTCTCTGTAACATTCATGTGAATGCATCAGTCTATGTATTTCTAATTCCCCTGAGTTTTTAATTACATTAACAGTGGGTCGATTTACAGTTCCAAACAACGAACATCAATGCACTTAATTAATGGAAGAGATTACAACTTACGTTTCGGAAGGCGGTTTTGTAGCATCGGAGCATTCGGTATCCGATTGATTAGCTTCGGAATCTTCATTGCTGCTTAATTTTAAATCAATCGCTTCCGAGAATCGTCGCTTTGCTCCCAACTTTCGACCTCGTGAATCCCCTGGTAAACCTAAGGTAAGCGCTGTTTCGTTGAGATTAAGGCCGTAATCGGCGCCGGTTGTTATCTCCGACGTGATTTTGGACGTCTCCGACGACATTTTGTTAGGTGAAGTCGGAAAAAGTTTCCAGTTTGAGATACAGATGCGTTGTGGGCATGTTGCGTAGTTATAGAGGGCGTAAGCACCAAACAGTTATCCAGTTATAAGTCAACACGTGGCATTAGAATAAACGGTTGAGATTTTCTTTTGGGTAATGATGAAGGGCTGGTAATCTAGTTGGTGAGAGTACCAAATGTTGAGATGTTTTGGAGTATCGAATCAAACCCATGTGCCCGTGTGTGCAATTGATGAAAAAGAAAGTGAAACGGATACACATGTCGGGTATTTCGAATTTCCTTTTACATAGGGGTGCAAACGAGTCGAGTCGAGCCTGGCCAGGCTCGGCTCGGGTTCATTTAAGTTATATGAGGCTCGAGCTCGAGCTCGGTTCGATTCGAGCTTTCTTGTACTGAGTTCGGCTCGAGCTCGTAAAGAATTATCCAAGCTCGGCTCGGGCTCGGGATCGACTCGTTTTTTATCTGACGTGCCTAAATAAGCTTAAGCTCGGCTCGAGCTCGTTAAGAAGCTCGTTTACTAATACCCTAAATCCGTAATTCCTCTAATATATTTTTATTTTAATATATATAAATAATAATAAATTATATTATGTAAAGGCTCGTTTAGGCTCGCGAGCCTAATCAAGCTTAATGACATAGGCTCGAGCTCGAGCTCGTTTAATAAACAAGCTTAATATTAAGCTCGAGCTCGGCTCGAGCTCGTTTAAAATCGATTTCGAATCGAGCTTTTAACGATCCGCTCGCGAGTAGCTCGCGAGTAGCTTGGCTCGTTTGCACCCCTACTTTTACATATTGGTTTTAGAAAGCAAAATTGTTAGAATGATTCTTTGGTTTCGGGGAATCGTGTCAACGGAACCGTACTTTCTTCACTGCCACATATGTGATATGTCATTTTTTACCATTCAAGTATGTTTTTTTGTCATATCTAAGGAGTGGTGTCATATTTTTTTTAATAATTTAATTCAATAGAACTTACTTTTTAATAAAAATACATAAATTTTCATTACTTGAAAATAAAAAATACATTGCATTGCATTACTAAAAAAAAACTATACATAACATTAAAAAAATCCTACAAACTTAAAAAAAAACACACATCAAGCTTACTTCAAAATAAAAGACATTATTCATATAAACATATTAACATAAAACCATACTTCATAGTTTATATAATAAATTCATATTGACAAATTTATTATTATCTAGATATTAAAAGAAAAAGAAGTAAAAAAAAATATAGAAAGCAAGATATAGATGTAACGCCCGTAGATCCGGACTAATCAATTTAGAAATAAAAGGGATCGAAAACGATTTTTCGACAAAAGATTATTTAGAATAAATAATCTTAACCAAGTTGTAGAATACGTCTCAAGGGTCCCGTATATATAAAGAACGCCGAAATTCGAGTTATAACGAAGAAGTTATGGTCTGTCGAAGTTTTACGGCAAAACCGACACGACACTAAGAGACGTAAATAGTGAATTTATGATGGAGGACGTTTTAGCCTTAGAAATCTAAACAAAATTTGTAGTATACGTTAAATCGAGAACATACACAAAAAGAACGCTCAAATATGACTTCGTATGAGAAAGTTATGAATTTTCTAAGATTTGGCTTAACAGTGTACAATCCAAAACTCGAATTTTAGATCGATCGGTTTTTTGCCTACGCGGCCTAAATGAGAATTTAAGATCTCGTTAATAGGAACTCAACGGTAAAATAAAAGACGAAAACAGAATCCGTATGTAGAAGTTATGAATTTTACGTGGACATTTAACAGTATAATCTCCTCGTACAATTAAATTTAAGATCGGTCAAAAATTAGCCGACAAAGTCAAAATGAAAGTTGTAGATTTTATTTTTACCTACGCGTAGATATAAAGAACATCAAAAACAGAGCTCGTATGTCAAAGTCACTGATTTTATAAGTCGGAAGTGTGTTATGCAAAAATGGATGACGTGACACAATATTGGTCATTGCTTTCTCCCTAAGTCTTGCCAGCAGATGGTGACATGTGGCACCAAGTTCAAGCATATTTCACTCTATAAATAAAATCTCTCATACCCTCATTTTCTTCACACGTTTCCCATTATTTCTTCTCTTTACTCTCTCTCTCCCTCTCTCTCTCTCTCTCTCGAACCTTTCTCTAGCCCCGAAACCACCGAAAAGCCTAGGGAACCTCCCTAGCACGAGGCGGAAGCCCCGGAGTGCTCGACGGCTCTGAGAAGAAGAGCTTTTCAGCTCAGGAACGCTGCTCCAAGCAAAGCCGGATTTTCTATAAAACCCGCTGTAAGTGAGCTACGCCTACGCTATTTTTAATACAACTTTTATTTAATTATAGTAACGTTATTACGAACTTATAATAAGTACTTGGTCTATTATTATGGGTTATATAAGTATTGTTTAACGCTTATTTAATAGTAATAATAGCTAGATTATTAATTAATCTCGACAAATAATACACTAAACTCTAGTGGTAATAATACTAGGTTTCATCGAATGAAATTATTTTTAAGAAACGAAACATTGTCTGAGTTCGAAATCACCACCTTTTCAGGTGAGTGCATGGTCCATTTCATCTTACACGTAGATATGAAGTATTTTATATAAACTACGTGCTATGTGTGCATATTATTTGTATAATTGCTATCTATGCTGGATGAACGATTTTATACAAGTTTTATATGATTTAAACTGTATATGTATTTATATCTACATAATATGTTGGGTAAAACATGTATAGATGAAATATGAGTTGGATGATGAGTTGAGAGGTGATATACACCATGAGGTAAGGGTGAGAGGTGGACGATGTGAGAAGCCTTGTTCCTAAATGCTGGCCCCGTCATCTAGCAGAGTATGGATGACAAACACAGACTATTCTAGACAGTCCAGTGGAACACTAGCAGGCTCACAACCTGTAGGTGTTGTGAACTATGTGTTCACCCGATGTACTCTAAATATTGGCGATCATGCAGACTTGATTCCTAAACCCTGGTGAGTATGCAAACTTAGTGCCTAATCATTGGTGATCATGCAGACTTGATGCCTAAGCCCTGGTGACCATGCAGACTTGGTGCCTAAACCCTAGCGACTATGTAGACCTAGTGTCTGTTGTGTAAATCGTGGCAACGATGGACTTCATGCTAATTTATTAGGATCATCCTTAGGAATAAATGAACGAGGAATAGCTAATTCTTAGGGTAGATCCTTAAGAGTAAAGAAGATACTGGGGATGGGTAATTAGGTTGACTGTTTGATGGTGAAACATAATAATTATATTATTGTGGGTTGAAAACCTTATGTACTCACCAGGTTTCCCAACCTGACCCACTCAGTTCATTTATATCAAAGGTGTTGATATGAAGTCACATTACACTGAGAGATTAAGGAGATATAAATCACTAGTGATAATGTATGTTAGTTCTGTTTATGCTTATGTTTCTGTATTGACGATGACATCCCAAATGTTTTAAAATGAATAAAAATAATTTTCTTCGGAAATGCTTTGATAATGTATTTATCATGTTTTACTAGGAACAAATTTCGTAACATTTTTATTAAAAAAGGTACTCTGATTTTTATAAAGCATAAACAAAATCGGTCTTTTCTGGTCGTGAAAATGGGGATGTCACAATTGGTATCAGAGCATTAGTTTAAGAGAACTAGGAATATGGATTTATTTCTAGACTTAAACTTAGAATGCTAAGAAATGATTGTGAGGAGTGTATCTTAGGTAATACACCTGAATAGACACAAGCACTAGCTTATTTAGGGAAAATGCCTAACATGCTTTTATGTGCTAAATGATTTATGATGCTTTATGATGCTAAATGTATGATCGGATCTATGGCTTGTTGTCGACCGGATCTGGAAACTTTACATGTTCAGACTTCTAAACGTTTAATTACGATATTAGAACTGGCATGTAACTTTTCGGACTAATAGGGAGATTTACACTTCGAAAGTCTTTCCTATCTTAATTCTCGTCATTACACACCGAACGTTTGAATTGGTGTATAGATCAAAATGTCAAGAACTCACAGCGGAGTCGGGAACGCAAATGGAAATAGGAATCAACACTCTAGTGATTGAACAAATACCTGTTGTAGTAGAAGTTGTACCTGAACCAATTACCATGGCTGGAGTACAAGCCATGATCTGAGCTATGTTAGTTGAACAAAGGGAAGAAATGAGCAGGATGTTGCATGAAAATAGGGACGAACCTACCATGCCCATTGAGCAACCTGAGCTGATACACGAGCAATCAGAGGAAGGGAACTATAGCCGCCCTGTGAGTCAAGTTAGGACTCAAGGAGAACGAAGGAATGGCCTGAAGAGAGGAAACGACAAGGATGGACGAATGTATAAGAACTTCTTGGGTGCCAAGCCACCAAGCCTTTTCGGAAACCCGAAGTTGGTTGATATTATGGACTGGATCTCCGAAATGGAGATGGTGTTTGAGAGTTGTGACTATAGCGACAGGCAAAAGACCGTCTTTGCAGTCAGACAACTAAAGACTGGAGTGCTAAGTTGGTGGAAGTTGTTGGCAAATACAATGTCACGAGGAGAAGCCTTGAAAATGTCTTAGGAAGCATTCTTGGAGCATTTGAAAATGCAATACTGCTAAGAGATAGATTTGATAGACCTGAACAACGAATTTCAGAACCTGAAGAAAGGAAAGATGATTGTGGATGAGTATGCCACCGCATTCACCGAGAGGATGAAGCTATTCCCCTAATTGGTGCCTACTAAACTCTCCAAGATCGATAGGTTTGCTAACGGACTGCCCACAGACTTTGGCCCAACAGTCAAAATGGCAACTACCTTGAAAACAACCGTTAGAGCGGCCAGGAATGTTGAGACCCATATTAGGGAAAAGGGTCTAGAGAGAGCTGAAGTTGGCGAGAAAAGGAAGTATGAAGGATCTTCAAAATCCAACAAAAAAAATAAATTCTCAAAGACTGAAGGAGGAGGAGGAGGAGGAGGAGAAGCTAAGTGGTACGAGAATTGTAAAAAGA